GTGACATGAAGTTCATCAACGAAGACGACCAGGCGTTCCTGATGACGGGTTCGTCAGATGGTGTGATTCGGATCTACCAGAACTACGACTCGGACAAGTCCATTAACTTAGCCTCGGCCTGGCGGGCTCTCACGCACATGGTCCCCAGCAATGTCAACTCGGGCATGGTATTCGATTGGCAGCAGTCAACGGGTCGCGTGCTGGTGGCTGGCGACGTGAGAGTAATCCGAGTGTGGTCTGCAGCATACGAGACATGCATCATGGACATTCCCGCTCGGTCGGGGTCCTGTGTCACCTCTTTGACCTCTGATCAGATGACGGGCAACACGCTCGTCGCTGGATTTGGAGACGGTGCTGTTCGCGTTTTCGACACGCGTCTGAGAGCACAGGACTCCATGGTCAAGAAGTGGAAGGACGAGACAGACAGGCAGTGGATCAAGAGTGTCCACATGCAACGTGGCGGACAACGCGAGTTGCTCAGCGCAAGCAGGAACGGCAAGGTGAAGCTATGGGATATCCGCATGGACCGGCCACTCCAAGTTTACCAGACGACGCGGGATACTCTCCGGACAGCCAGCACCCATGAACACCTGCCGGTGTTTGCTGTGTAAGTGAACCAAGACTCAATCTTTCACGACAAGGTACTGACCAGACACTTAGTGGTACTTCCGCGCATGCCGTTAAGGTTTTCAACTTCGACGGGCATGAGTTGTCTCGCGTTGAGCCATACTCGAGCTTCCTTCAGCAGAACAGGGGATCACCGATTGCAGCCACGTCCTTCCACCCCCATCGGCCCATTCTTGCATGTGCAGCCCGGGGCGATTACCACGTGAATCTCTTCACCTGCGAGAAGTCTGAAACAAATTCTCTGGTTGCTTAGTTCGCATCCATTGGAAGCTAAAAGACCTTCTCTACTGTATTCTGAAAACGGCACTAGAAAGATTTCATTGCTGTATGTACCTATTACACGTTTTGCGTTCATTTCAGGGCGGCAGCATACCAGGATTGGCAATTCAGGTTTGGCGTTTGATTCGGTAGCATTGTGCACCACGGGAGAGGAAGGATTGATTGAGATATCTAATTGTAGTAACTTGCTGGCCTAAAAGCCAATTGAATCATGAAAATTGTGTTGTGCCTCAAGACTGCCTCAATTCCATGAACCAAAAATTGAAACTACGCGAATTGAGTCACTCAGGGAACGCCTTTGGTGCATGGGGAAGTCGCACGCGGCTTATCGATATGCAGGAGCTCCTTACCCCACCTGTGCGCTGCCCCTCCATCGAAATATCCAGGCCGTGGTGTCACTCGTTTTTTTTTTAACAGTCACACCGAAAGCTCAGGCCACGAGAGTCACGGAATCGCCCTTTTAAACGCAACAAACCGACGGCCAACCCTCCATTCGACTCCCAATTGTTTCCTCGAAAGATCAAGCTCGACCGCAAACATGGCTGACGCGCCGACCGAAAAGCCCACCGAAAACCCCGCCGCCGCTGCTGCCCCCGCAGGCGAGGAGGGTGGTGAGAAGCAGTCCAAGAAGGGAGCGAAGAAGGCCGAGGCCAAGGCGAAGAAGGAGGCCGAGAAGGCCAAGAGAGCCGCTGAGCGCCAGGCTGCCGAGGCCGCTGCGAAGGCTGCCGGCGGCGCTGGTGGTGAGGACCTGGCCAAGGACAACTACGGCGATGTCACCCCCAAGACCAAGGTCGACGCCGAGCGCGTGAACCTGAAGGCCATTGGCGACGACCACGTCGGCAAGAGCATCAAGCTCCGCGCCTGGATCCAGAACTCGCGCATGCAGGGTGCCAAGATGTGCTTCATCGAGCTCCGCGAGGAGCGCGATTGGGCTATCCAGGGCGTGATTGCGGCCAGCGCCGAGGGCAAGCCCGTTTCCAAGCAGATGGTCAAGTGGATTGGCGGCATCTCCCTGGAGTCTTTTGTGCTCATCGAGGCGACCGTTCAGAAGCCTCTCGAGCCCGTCAAGAGCTGCAAGGTCAGCAACTACGAGCTTCACATTACCAAGCTCTACGTTGTCGCCCCTGGCCCTGAGTCCCTGGCCATGTCGCTGGCCGTCTCCAACCGCGCCATTTCCAGCTTCGACGACGAGGACCCCAACGCTCCCCCGGCTGACAAGGCTGTCGAAGAGGTCAAGGCTGGTGTTGAAGGTGTCAGCATCGACAGCAGCGCCGTTCCCAGTGCTAGCTTGTCGACCCATCTCAACAATCCAGTTATGCACAAGCGCGCGGCCTGCCAACAGGCGATCGCCGACAGTACGCTCTCCAAGACCCAAGACCAGACTAGATGCTAATGATTGTAGTCCGCATGCAAGTTCGCAAGCTTTTTGCGGAGTATCTGGACTCACAAGGCTTCGTCCAGTTCGAGCCTCCCTGCCTCATTGGTGCCGCTTCCGAGGGTGGCGCAAACGTCTTCCAGCTCCCCTACTTTGATAACAAGAATGGTGCCTGCTTGGCCCAGAGTCCGCAATTTTACAAGCAGTTTGAGATTGCCGGAGGCCGAAAGAAGGTACAAAAAATCCTCCGTCCAGAGAACAATTATTGACCATTCTAGGTATACTGCATCGGCCCTGTGTTTAGAGCAGAGAACAGGTACGATATTTACTACTACTCCGTACTTGAAAAACTCTTGCTATTCGGGCAATGTCGAAAAACTATGGAGCAGTACACACGCTTCCAATCAATCAGATCAATCGCATTAGCCTAACCCGACTTCACGCTGCGCACAAATGAAGCTATCGCGGCCTTCGTTGGGCGTCGTTAGTGTGTGTGATTGAAGTGGCAGATCTGATTGGTTGGAAAAGGGGGTACTGTCCGAATAGATTTCTCACACTGTCCGGATAGCAAAACGCATCTGATATGTTGCAAAAGCTCTGTATCTAACTTTCATCAGCAACACGCCGAGACATCTCACTGAGTTCACCGGACTTGATCTCGAGCAGGAGATCGAGGAGGACTATGCCGAAGTTATGGACACGCTCGAGAACGTATTGCTCTACATCTTCCGTGGTCTCAAGCAGCGATGCCCGGAGCAGATCGAAAGTGTTCGCGCAGTGTACCCCAGCGAGGATTTCCTTCTCCCTGGGCCTGGCGAGAAGGTCCTTCGCATGACGTTCGCCGAAGGACAGAAGCTTCTCCGCGAGGAAGGCCCCGAAGAGTACCGCAACGTTTCCGACGATGAGGATATGTCTACGCCACAGGTACGGTTGGCCCTGATCCATTCACTTTCATGAGCGTCCGCTGACACAGCACTCCAGGAGAAAGCCCTCGGCGCGCTGATCCGAAAGAAGTACAACACCGATTTCTTCGTGTTGGACAAATTTCCCGAGGGAGCCAGACCCGTAAGTACTGACAAGGCTGATTCAAAAGGAGTTGTGCTCATGACGAATTAGTTCTATGCTCTCGAGGATCCCGAGAACCCCAAGGTCACGAACGCCTACGACTTTTTCATGCGCGGTCAGGTAAGTTTTTAGAGTTGTCATCGACTCGCCGATGGCCAATATTCCCCTTATGGTGGTGCAGGCGGCTGGCCGCTGCGATGGTTTCTCGCCGGACGAACCTATCCTCCTAAGACAGAATAGATGCTTTTACGATTAACTATGGTTGGACGAGCTGACATTATCTCAGGAAATTCTGTCTGGAGGCCAGCGTATCCACATTCCTTCCGTGCTTGAGGCTCGCCTGCGCAAGAAGGGCATCGACCCCAACAGCCAGGGTATCAAGGAATACGTCGATGTGTTCCGCAGCGCTGGTGTTCCTCCCCACGGCGGTGGCGGTATCGGTCTTGACCGTGTTGTGGCTTGGTTCCTTAACCTGCCTTCCGTCCACTTGGCGAGCTACTACCCCCGCACCCCCAAGAGACTTACGCCTTAGATGGATTAAAACGATGAAGAAGTTTTGGTGGAATACTTAGCTTGAGTCAAGAATTGAATGTGTTGTCAAGATCACATATCTCTGCGACTGAGAAGCCATCGTTGCATAACGTGACTTGCGTAGCGAGGTCAACGAACTTGCTATCGTCGTCAAGACTATGGGTTGACAGGAGCAGCGTACGGTTCGATCAACTAGAAGCACTTCGAATAGGGTTTTCTAGCTGGGCAATGTCAGTTAGCTATTCGGGCATTGTCCACACACGCGTGTAATCCGGATACCCTGTCGGCTCCCGTATTTTTCCTGTGCTAAAGCGACTACATTTCCCATATACTTGCTTTCGTCGTCACTGTCGTCGCCGATATCGTCGTCACTCTCGTCGTCGCTGTTATTGTCGCTGTTGTTGTCGCTATCGTTGTCGGCCTCGTCGTCGTCTATCGTCCTTATGATTCTTGCTACCCCTATTCATTTCTCTACTACTATCGTCCTTGTAAAAGTTACTGGGGACATTGCCTGGATAGCCATATAACACTGCTCGGCCAGCGAAACTCCTTTGAATGCACGAAGATGCTAGCGGCTGGTGGGGTTATGCCATCGAAGTTTGCAAGGTTGAGTTCCTCAGAAGGAAGGAATGATCGCTGGGGATTCGAACCCCTCCTCTTTTGAGGATACCAGTGCGACCTTTAGGGACCAAGCCCAAGGAATCTCAACCTATGGGCATAAGCCTTTCAGGAAGTAGATGGGCATGAACCCTTCAAGAAGTCGTAGGCATAACCTCTTCAGGAAGTGTGATGAGATTAGGCCGAAACCAAGGCTCACGCCATTAGAAAGGTAGAAAGTTCGGCTAACGCCGGTGGAAAAGCAGGAGTAACCTTGCCAGCATCGCTCTCATGATTTGTTTGCCGCGGTAAAGGTCTTGACGTAGGAACTATAGTTAGTAGTCCAGATCTGCGCCCGCATCGTCGTCAAGGCGGAGGCCTCAGAAGATTCGGCCTGCGAAAAATAAATCGTCGGAATCGGTGTTGGACAAGTCTAGGAGAAGTCTAGGCCGAGAGATTCGACGTCAGAGTATGAATCCTCTTCCGTGGATTCTGACGCACTATCCTCCCTAGCAGGACCACCTCCCTAGTTCTGAGGCTGGGAATTCACCAAGACATCACCGTTCATGGTGGGTTTAATATTGGCAACAAGGGCGGCATGAGTGCTTCCAGGTGTCGTGGTTGCGTGGGATGGTCTCATGTGGGCGGTACCGCATGCCGGGTCTGCGGACGTGAGATGAAAGTCCAACACAGGAGGAGGAGCTGTTGAAGCTGAAGGCGTGTTGCTTGGAGGCGTGTGGTGCGGTCTGTTCGTGTGATGTCTGTTCTGAAGAGGCAGGCGCTGCACTGTTTGTTAGTGATGCCGGGAATTGAAGCACACCAGGTTGGACAAGGATTGTACACTGACCGGTCTACGATGTGTATGGACTGCTTCGAGAGTCCGCCCGTAGAATCCTCCTTTTCTCTCCTCAAGGTTGACCTCCTCCACGAGGGTTTTTGCTGCATATTTGTTCTCGCACACGATCCAAACATAGCCCATGTTTTGCTTCTTCGCCTTCTTTGCTGTGTCATCCTTTTCTGGCCAGTGGTACTCGACCTGGCGCGGACGAATGATTCTGTCGACATGGACTTCTACCTGTGATTCCGTCTTGAACCAGTGAAGCTTCTTCAAAAAGACAACCTGACCGTTGGTCTCGCGAGGAGCCAAAGTGTCCTTGATGGTTTGAGTCGACATGTGGAAGGAAGGCATCCTGGTCCACAAGTTAGCTACCAAAAAAAATGGAAAAAAGTAGAATAGAAATCATTATTCGCTTGTAGGTTTTCTTGTGCGTGATTGTTGATTTTTTTTTCGGGTGCGAAAATGTTGCAAGTTCTTGTGCCAGTTAGATAGAAGATTTTGTCTCTGGCTATCGAGGTAGGACCCATTTCCAATCATTCTGTCAGGCTTGATTGGATCTGATCGGCTGATAGCCCCAACATCTTGAGGAAGCCGCGATCCCGCTATTAGGCCACTACCTTCTGCTCTATCTTATCTGCGGCCTTCACCTCCAAACTCAAGCTCACGATGCTGTCTACCGCCGCAGCGAGGAGTCTGTGATGGTTCATACAAATGTTCCCGCAGGGACCGCATTTTTTTCTTGTGTCTGCGCGGTTACGTTCCCTACGTGTCCAATAAATTTCACATCTTAAGTCGTCGAGAACGATAGTTGACAGGAATAGTAGCCGCTTGATTTAGTACAGGAAAAATAAGGTCCAGTTTCCTCTCGTAATGCTCGCGACAACTAGCTTCATCCTCGGCGAGAGCTATGATTAGGCCATTTTCATAGGTAACCATCATCCGGCTCAGATCAAATTCTGCTGTTAGCTACAGCTTTCAATACGACATGGCTAGTCGAGGGGGGTTACTTCGAAACGATGAAGACCATAATTCTTCCCTCGGAAACGCGCTGTGACGACTTTTTCTTCATTGCAATTGAGCAGCGTATTAGATGGTGAGAATTGGTTACATTTCATGTCAATGACCCACGAAGCTGCAGATGTGATTAACGACTGGCTTTGGAAGGCAACCAATCATCTGCACGTCGTGAGGGCGCAGCACTCAGATAAGCGAGCCCGGCCGTCTCTACAGATCAGGCTGAACATCACAAAAAACAAACTCTCTTTTGTACATAGTCATTGCGGCGAGACTTCCTGCAGCAATAATGAGCTTCGGTTTCGGAGTAGGCGACTTTATCGCCGTGCTGGATAAAGCGAAGCTCTATCGCGAGCGCTTTGCCGATGCTCCGGATCACTTTGACTCTCTTGGTCGCGAGTATGATTACCCAGTCATCGTCATATCTGACTAGTATGTCTAACGGTCGTTTCCTCCACAGGATTGCATCCCTTACGTCGATACTTGAATACATTGGCCGCGTCGAAGACCAGCTCACCGAAAGCGAAAAGGAGGCCTTGGCCCCTTCTATCAAAGAGTCCACAAAGCTTCTGGGCGAGCTGGAGAAGATTTTCAATGACAACACGAGCTTGGAGAAACATGAGGGCACTAGCAAGCTGGCCAACCTGAAACCTCGGGCTGTCTGGAGACGCCTAAGGATAAAGCCCGAAGACATTCAGAAGCTACGGCAGCGGATTACCATGAATGTTCATTTCCTCAGCGCGATCAAGGGATTTAGGGACAGGTACGTCAATGTCGTCAGTAACACTTGATCAGGCTAATTGTGGGTGGAGCGAGGCCATACATTCCACGAAACAAATCGTTACTTCGATACATGATGAACAGACAAGTCGACAAGAAAGAGAGATCCTTGACTGGTTGACAACCACCGACTATGCGCCGCAGCAGCGGGATCATCTTTCCCGTAGATACACCGGCACCAATCAATGGCTTCTGGATTCTGAAAAGTACAAGTCATGGATATCAGGCAAGAGCCAGACCTTACTCTGTCCCGGGATGCCAGGCGCGGGGAAAACCATCATGGCTTCCGTTGTGATAGATGACTTATTTCATCGGTATCAGAACGACAATGACGTCGGCATAGCCTACGTCTACTGCAACTTCAAAGATCAGGATAGACAAAACCACTACGATATGCTTTCGAGCATCACGAAACAACTTACCTAATGTCGCTCTCCAATTCCGGGTAGCCTGAAAGCACTCTACGACGCTCATCAGAGGAGGAAAACCTCGAGAACTCTACAAGAGACCATGGATGTACTTCAGGCCGTGGCTTCTTCCTATCATCGCGTCTTCGTGATCATTGACGCTTTGGACGAGTGTGAGCCCAAGAGTCGGCAGGCGTTGCTGGCGGGGCTCTCCCGGCTGCAAAAGCGACATCCCACAAATGTACTGGCAACAACCAGAGAGATCCCTGACATCATCGGATCTACCGACTTCAAGAACGCAGAAACTTTGCGGATTCAAGCTAGCGACATTGATGTGTTGCGGTACATATCAAGTCGCATACCAGACATGCAAACTTTTGTGCAAAGGCGCCCCGAGATTCAAGAAGAAATCCAGAAAGGTATCTTATGCAGAATCAACGGAATGTGAGTTTCACTACACCGCAGAAAAAATAAGTCAAATACTTATCAACTCAGGTTTCTTCTCGCCAAATTGCTCGTTGACTCATTATCCTGTAAGACCACCCCCAAGGCCGTTCGAAAGGCCCTGGCTGCTGCATCTGCCGAGGACGACACATACGCATATTTCTATAATGAGGCCCTGGAAAGAATATGCGTGCAACCGCCTGCGCACGTGCAGCTTGCAAAGCAGGTACTCTTTTGGATCGTATTCGCCAAACGACCTTTGCAGATGAATGAACTCCAGCATGCTTTAGCTGTGGAGGAAGACGAGCCGGATATTGAGGAAGACAACATCCCCTCCGCCGAGATCCTCATTTCTTCATGTGGGGGTTTGGTGACCCTGGACGAGCAAGGCGGGATCGTTCGATTGGTTCATCAAACAACACAGGAATTTTTCAACAGAAGAAAAAGGGGCCTATTTCCGGAAGCGGATGCCGAAATCACGAACATATGCGTTCGTTATCTTTGTCTCGGACAGGTTCAGCGACTCATTAGAAACCGTACCCAGAATATCCCATCTTACAGAAAGCCGTATCATTTCGAGTCCTTCGCTCTCAGAGACCTCAGAAAGTCGGAATTCCCTTTCTGCGAATACGCCATCCCATACTGGGGACATCACGCAGGCAGTTGCGAGACAACCCCAAGCAACATCGCCCAATTACTCAAAAGCCGAGAAATGCTTCGGGGCCTAGTCACTATTTTGAGCGATCTCATTGGAGAGGATGTACCATCTACGGGAGCACACTTAGCAGCGTGGCTTGGTTTGCGGCAGGTTTTTGAAAATCATTTACTGCCCGCAGAAGATGTGACTTTTGTCGATCGCAGAGGGCAATCGATTTTGTCGTGGGCAGCTCATCGAGGTCACACCGACTTAATCAAACACGTTCTAGAAAACGACACACTACGAATGAAAAAGTGCTACAACCGAGGGAACACCGAGTTTTTCCACCTGGCACTCTTCAAAGCCGTAGAGTTCAGTCATCCACACGTGGCTCGCAGACTCATCCAGTTTGCTTCTGATGAAGATCTCGACTTTGAAAGTGCAGACGGCCCTTCGCTTCTAGATTTGTGCATTGAACAGAGAGAGATGACAATTATCCGCTTGCTTCTTGACCGGCCACGGCATCGACTATCAGATACCCAGAGGCCCACGATCATCAAAGGCGTGGATCTCGAAAAGATAGGAGATCACGGTACACCGCTGGGATCCGCAGCCGCCAAAGGCCTCGACGAGGTAGTCAAACTTGTCTTGAACCTTGGAGCAAATGTTGAAGCGGTCGACAGAGCTGGACAAAGTCCTCTGTTTCGAGCTTTTCAATCGGGTCATGCGTCTACAATTAAAATACTATTGCAGAACGGCGCTAAGTATTTGGGTCAATGTGCAGAATCGTTGGCGCTCTGGCCTGCGAACAACCAGGGTTTGATCCTCAGGTTGCTGGTCAATGGTGGCGCAGACATTGAATCTAGAAATGAGAGAGGCATGACTGTGTTGGCATGCGCAGCAGGGGCTGGTCAGCTACCAATACTGGTCTCACTCCTGGATTATAAAGCCAACATCGAGTCTAGAGATAACGCAGGTCACACGCCCCTCTGGCACGCCCTCATTAATAGTCAAGCCTCGACTTTTGAGATGCTCCTGAAGAGAGGAGCGAATGTCGAAGTTATAGATCGACAGAGAGATACGCTTTTACTCTTAGCCGCCAAGAAAGGCTTGATCTCAATGCTGGAGATGCTCCTGAAAAGAGGAGCGAACTTCGAAGTTGTAGATCAACAGGGAGATACGCCTTTACTCTTAGCCGCTAGGAAAGGCTTCTTGTCGATGCTAGAGATGCTCCTGAAGAGGGGCGCGAACATCGAGGCTAGAGATCAACAGGGAGATACACCTTTATTCTTAGCCGCCAATAAGGGTTTGACACCGATGCTAGATATGCTTCTGAGATTCGGAGCTCAAGTCGATGCTCGCAACAAATATACAGGTCAAACCCCTCTTTGGAACGCCATTGCTTGTGGGCAAACCTCGGCTCTGCAGCTTCTCATCAGTCAAAATCCCATGATTGAAGCCACAGATCTTACAGGACGTACTGCTTTGTCATTTGCTGCTGGAATGTCCAATTCATCAGCCTTGGAGACACTGTTACAACATGGTGCTGTCGTAGATGTTTCGGATGGGAATCATCGGACACCTTTGTGGTATGCTGTAGCGGAAGGATCAGAGGTCAGTGTCAAGACTTTGATCGATTACGGAGCCGATGTGAATTGCAGGGACAGCGATGATATAACGCCCATTATGAAAGCCGCCGAATCAGGCCAGTGGTCTAAGTTAGCGAAGCTCTGGCAATTCGGGGCCGATCCATCAGCTTATGACAAGCTTGGGCGAACAGCACTGTCAAAAGCCGCAGGGGCTGACCGCAACTCGATATATAGTACAGACGTCTTGAAAATCAAGCGGAATCCTGGCGTCAAAGTCCCTGGCAGGCATAAGGACTCTTCGGTCTTTGACGCAGATCCGCCCATCATGTCAATGAGCCAGCATCTGACGGAAGGTCGTGACAGCCATGGACGGACTTCCTTATGGTGGGCTATCACCTCGGGGAAAACGAAAATGGTGGAAGTGTTGTCAAAGATGGTGGACGAAGTTGAGGGTTTGGACAAGCAGTGCAGACCTCCCTTGATGAGCGGCTCACCTGACGAGGCCAATGGTAGAAAGATGGTGCAGCTACTTCTGGAGCATGTGTCTCAGTTTGGCCCTAGCGGCGAAAGGCTGAGGTCACAGGAAGGAATATCTGAAAGAGCCATCAGCTATGTCCAGACCTTCCTGGAGTTCAACGGCATTGACCCCAGCGGAATCGGGTTGTGGCACAGCCTCAAGCCCGGGATGCCTTTCTCGCTTGTCGTATCAAATGGCCCCGTCCAGGAATACGCCTCACAGTCGAAGGGGGAAGCGATGCCTCTTCAAATCTTATGGATCATGCTGGGCTGGGCCAAATCCGCCATGGATAGCATTACGACGCCCTGGCCTCATAATCCAAATGGAACCATTCTTCGGGGTTTGGGCCCAGTTGGGGTCGCAAACAGGCCTATTCCAGGCCCCTTCGGGCACATGCAGAATCACCCGACGCCGAGCGGGAGTGCACTTCAGCATTTTGGCCCCGGAAACTTATTATATGACAAACCTCAGTGAAGAATATAGCCTGGTTTCTAACAGGATGCTTGGCAGCGCATGAGCTGAGTCTACAGAGCCCGAGGGTGTTTTCAGGGCAGTAGCATTCTTCCGATGTTAAATTCTCACCAATTGCCTATTTCAAAACATTGAGTCGAGCATTTGGCCCTTGTCCACTGTCTGTTATGGCCAGTATGAAGATACATGTCCAGAGGGTGGCGGTCCGGTAGCCGCAGATTTCTGAACAGTACGTAGATTTTATGCAATTAAGACATACGGTATAGTTGAGTACTGTTGCCTGTTGATTTCAGGAAATTCTCACATCCATCAACTAATGATTCACTGATTATGAACATTGATAAGTGATAAGCGCGACAAATTCAGATTCGCTCCTTCATGTAAACTGATACAAACCACGTAGCATCCTAGAAGTTCTTGGCGAAGAACTCGAGAACAGTCTTGTACCCACGAGTATACTCCTCCTTGACGCGCGCGTCCTCCAAGTTAGACCGGGCTGCCATCCATCCGTGGATCTGGTCCTTGAAGATCTCAACGTGCTTCGCAACACTCAGGTTATCCTCGAACTTCTTGACATCCTCCTCGCCCTCATCTTTGGAAGCAAGCATGATCAGGGGGACCTTGATGCCCTTGGCATCCGCGGGGTCGACCATGGCAGGGTGAACCTCGGCGCCGGCCTTGAAGGGGTTGCTATCGGAAGATGTGACGAGGGAAACAACCTTGCCTCCCCAGCAGTACTGCAACTCCAATCAGCTCTGTGTTCGCAAGCAATCATCTCAATTTACATGTACTTACACCAATGGTAGCGAAAGACTCGATGGAGGGGTACTTTGACTGAATAGCCTTGACGTATTCGGGGGTCAGCTCGGCAATCTTAGGGGGAGGGAACCTCTGAAAGAAGGCGCCGAGCTTCTGCTGCTTCTCCTCGTTGTCGGGAGGGAACCACTCGATGTTGGCGGGCTCGCCGGCGAACCAGTCGGGGATGAAGACACGGTACTTCTCAGCACCGGCGGTGGCCAGGATATCGGCGCCCTGCAGGGTCTGGGGGAAGAAGCCGAAGATGTCGAATGTTACGACGATGGCCTTCTTTGCGTCGGCGGGGCCGGTGACGTCTGCAAGGCAATGCGGGTCAGCGATAGTTCCATATCGTAGATGCGATTGAGGGCTGACGAACAGGTCTTCTTGCTACCAATCTCCTCGTAGGAACCCTTAGCTTCGTAGCCCTTGGCGACGACGGGCGGGATGTTGCAGCAGGCCTCGTGGTGGCCGTGCTGGGCGGGCATGGTGGTAGCCATTCTGGCGGTCTGTGTCGAGAACTGTCGTGAATTGAAAGGCGACGACGTATTAATGGAACCGCAGCAAGTGAAGTTCTTGTTTGCTGTTGTGACGGAAGCTGGTGTTGTTGAGCGCGAAGCTATGGCAGATGTGGAGGAGGAAGAAGTTGCTCTCTGGACCAGGGGTGCTCTGGAAAAAGCTTGGGAAGCGGAGCGGGCTGCTTTGGCAGTGTGGGAAGACATTCAATATTATGGGCAGGTGGGTTTGTCTTGGTTCTAGAGTGGAATGGAAGGTGTGGCTCTCCGGTTTTCGCTGACTTTCACTGACGAAGAATAAGGTAAGGCGGGGGGGCACCGGTTGGTCAATGGGGGCAAGCTTTCCTTGTGCCGTCTTGTGTGTTCGGACGAGGCGTTCTCGCGAATTGGGAGGGGCTCGCGCGCGCGTTCTCTTTCGATGGAGGGGTAAAACGATAAGGAGTCGAGCTGTTACGAGGAGGGGAAGCTGTGGGGGGTGATGTCACCATATCCATGAATGAAACTGAATCGGTACTGGATCGAGGTCCACCCTGCCGGGAGACCCGCTCGTTTGCCGGCGCCGGTCCCGAGCTAGGCCGGACTCTCCGGTAGTTGCAGTCGATGACAATGTTTGAGCTGTTGTTGATGTCGTTGTTGCGCATGCCTATTCCAAATCATCCATTGCCGACATGTCCAGGCAGTGATGGGCACAAATGCATTAATCTGCATGTGTACCTTCCAATTGCCCTTCTCCAAAACCCAGTGCTTTGGTTCGCCCACATTTAGGGGACATAGCTTCGGCCATGGCATACGCATCCGGGGAAGGCTTCCGGCAAGGGGTTTCCCAGCATGCCGCAAGTCCTTGTCCTAGCTCGCACCTTCTCGGGTGTTTTTATGGACGTCGTCAGTTCTCATACTATTCAGCAATCCAGTTCGAGTCCATTGAACGAGCTTTTAGGCAGATGGCTCGGTGAATGGTTACACATGGTTACCTATGATTTTGGGAGTTGTCATTGACTTGCCAGGATGCCCCGCACGTTCCCCCAAAGCTACTCATAAGCTTAAATCCACCTCCACGTAGTGAGCCCTGCAGGAAGATGAGGCATAGGGACTTCTGTCGGACCCCTTGGATGAATTTCGACTGGATTTCGCTCAAAGTGATCAAAGCGATCAAAAGTACAAACATGTCTACATACTATATCTGAGCCGCGGTCCCACAAGCATTCAATCACTTTTGACAATTTAACCGGTCCTTGCTATTCAAGTAGATGGGTATCATAGCCCATAAACCAAACCCCAACACACAAAACCCAGACGAGTCAAATTACCCGTCAACAAATATGTCTCCTTTCCCATTCCGATTCGCAACGCCAACCCTGTCCCAATTGAGCACCAGCACCAAAGCAAATCAGGCGTCATACCCAGAAACTCTCAAATCCTCCAATGCTTTGGTGACAACCATGCCATCTTCCTTGAACGCCAACTTGTCCGCCGCCTCGGCAAAGTCAACCCAGATAATATCAAATTTCGACCGATCCTCTCCCGTCCATCCACTTGGCGCAAGTCCAGATCTGCCCTCAACAACAAAGTAGAATACCATCTTCATCGCCCCAGAGTTCGGATCTGGGTAGTGGCACACGGCCAGCGGCTCCGTGCTGTCCGTCTCCTCCGTAATATCCGGCGCTCCGGGTGGCGCATCCGCCGGCGTCGCCCTCGTCCGGATCTGCAGCGGAATCGGTGTCACCACAACACCGGTCTCTTCCCTGGTCTCTCGCAACGCTGCCGCTAGCAGATCTTCTCCAATGTTCTTCCGGCCTTTTGGTAGTTGGTGAATGCGGTGGCGCTTATTGTACACGAGGAGCACCCGGCGTGCGTTGAGGTCGACAGTGACTGTTCCACAGCTTGTGATGAACCTGTGGGAGGGATAGAAACGTCGGCCGCGAGCCATCTCGGTGACGGTTGGGGCGTACATCTGTGGCTCTTCGGGTAAGGCTGAGGGTGCCATGTTGTCGTCTTTGTTTGGTAGATGCTTCTGGTAAGATAAGAAGTGACAGATGACAGGTCTGGCTTCGAGCTTTGATGATGTGTCTCGACCTGAGGCAGATGAAATCTAGGGTCTGAATCTAGATCAAAACGTGTCTCCCAACAGCGTCTCAGAATGAGTCAACACAACTAGATCAAGCCAGCCCAACGACCGGGGTTATCCCCTTCATATACGCCCACGACTTCGTGGCGGTGAACGTATCACGAGAGCCTGCTTCCTCGAGCTGACGATCCTCGGGTTCGTCGTTGGCTCAGCCGCCCCGTTCCTCCCCCACACATATCTTCGCGACCTGCCAACATCGCAGCCTGCAGACCGGTCTCTTCCCCTCCCCTGCATGTGCCTACCGTCATCCCAACCAGCCAGAGGACGAGATACGGATGAAAAGAGTAAGGCGCGATGCCGCAAGGGGCTTTGCAGCCCGTTTGACACCCTCCTACCCACTGACCGGGGGGGCTTGTCCATTACCAGCAGGTGCAGAGAGGCAGCAAAAAAAAGCCTGAAAGAGAGAGTTGCATATTTTGGGTCCGGTGAAGGGTTCACCGGTGAGGCAAGGATTGGAGATCGGTCAGACTAGGGTGGGAGCGCACTGCATGGGTGTTCGCCTTCGCCCCTCTCCTTCGCCGACGAACCACGGTCTGCCCGGGAACCAAGGAAATGGAAAACGGAAGAATTGAGAAAAAAAAGGGGGTTGTTGAGGTGGTGTAGCCAGACCAACCACGCATGCGGGAAATGATATCTTCGATGAGTGGTGAGATCTTTCCGTTGTGTCGAGTGACAGGCGAATGGGATCAGTCGCGAGCTTCCGCTGCTAGCTCCGGGTAGGTCGAGTTGCGTGTCACCACATGCGCATCCGTCCCATATGTCGCATGTTGGGCTGAACGGCTGAGCATTAGCCGCAAGCTTCTGATTTTCGTCGGACATCGGAAGATGGCCAATGTCATTTCCATGAGATCATCGGATGGCACGACCTTTCACTAGACGAAATGTCGGGTGTAGCTGCCATGATACTACTCAGCCAGACGGCACGTGGATGGTCGTATCTGTAGCCACGTTATTTCTTGCTGGCACGTTTGACCCGCAGAATGCGTGGGGAGAGGACCGAGTTCCATGGTTGCCGGCATCAAGCTGCGTAGGATTGGAGTATGATGAAGAATGAAGAAGATGGAGCCCGAGGTACACCGCCGGCACAGAGTAGGGTGGCGGCCGGTGGGTCCCCGGAGCTCGGTCCGCGCAATTGGCTCCTGCCCCGATCTGCTGCAGAACAGGCCCCGTAATGTTTCTGAACTAGGCAGTCCGTCCCGGATGCCATTTCTTTCGTTTGGCCGAGATGGGCTTTTTACCATCTGATTTTGGGTTTTGAGCCGTTGTCAAGACGGCAATCTGAGATGCTCGCCGTGGCGTCAAATGCAACCGCGGGAAAGCGGCCGGGACATCTAGCCGCTCTTAATGAGGTTCGGATAACACCAAGCCCCGGCATTAGCGGGCAATTGGCGAGGCGACTGTCATTGGAGAGGCGAGTTGATCGTGTGCTTTTCGATCGACCACTGCCTTTCATTGACGCGCCTTGTCCGTAGACTGAAACGACTAGGTGATACTTGGGCTGCCGTGCAGGCGCCTCAACAACGGGTGTAAGAACTTTCTTGATGCATTTCTCCCAACGCCTCATGGATGATCCTAATTCTAAGCATTTTTACATTCTGAATACGCCAAACTTGGTATCACCAGCCTTTACTTCATTACGGCCTGACATGGCTGCCCTGAGACCCAACCCAAGGTACTTGCGAGTGTGCTGCGGGGGAATAATACCGTCGTCCTATGAACCATGGTTAGCAAGTATCGGTGACGTGGATGTTGCGTTGTGACTTACCCATAACCTGGCAGATGAGTAGGTAGCATCGCTCTCCCGCTCTATTCTCTCCTTCAATTCAGGATCGACCTGCTTTCCAACGGTCTCCATCACAGCAGCCAGTTGCTCACCGCCCATGACACCAATACGGGCGTTGGGCCACATCCAGAGGAAGCGCGGGCTGTAGGCCCTGCCGCACATGCCGTAGTTGCCCGCACCGTAGCTACCACCAACAACGACGGTAAACTTTGGTACATCGGCGCAAGCGACGGCCGTCACCAGCTTGGCGCCGTGTTTGGCGATACCCCCACGCTCCGCAGCGGAGCCAACCATGAAGCCAGAGATGTTCTGGAGGAAGACTAGCGGAATGCCTCGCTGAGCACACAGCTCGATAAAGTGGGCTCCCTTGACGGAGGACTCTGCAAATAGGATACCGTCGTTGGCGATGATGCCAACCTTGTAACCATGGATGTGGGCAAAACCGGTGACAAGGGTGGTTCCAAAGTTTTGCTTGAATTCGGAGAACTCAGAGCCGTCAACAATACGAGCAATGACCTCCTTGATGGGCAGGGGCTTCCTCAGGTTTGTGCTGGCAATTCCCAAAAGCTCTTCGGGCGAGTGAAGAGGTTCAGCGTAGTCTTGTACCGGCGCCATCGTTGCGGGGGACTTCTTCGGCCAATTCAGGTTGCTAATGCTACGGCGCGCAAGGGTGATTGCATGGGCATCGTCAACCGCGAGGTAATCGGTCACGCCGGAGACCGAAGAATGCATCTTGCCGCCTCCCAGCTCCTCGTGGCTGATCACCTCACCCGTGGCAGCCTTCACCAACGGCGGGCCCGCAAGGAAAATGTGACCCTGGTTCTCGACAATGATGCTCTCGTCGCTCATCGCGGGGACATAAGCCCCGCCAGCGGTGCACGGACCCATGACGACCGAAATCTGGGGTATTCCCATCGAGCTCATCCTTGCTTGGTTGTAGAAGATGCGTCCGAAGTGATCACGGTCCGGGAAGACGTCCGCTTGGTGGGGGAGGTTGGCACCGCCGCTGTCGACCATGTAGATACAGCTGTCCAATGTCAGTCTTCTTGATTGATTATGCGCAGGACAGGAGCGTCTTACGGAAGCTTGTTCTCCTGTGCGACGGCCTGCGCCCTCAGATGCTTCTTCACGGTAATCGGGTAATATGTGCCGCCTTTCACCGTGCTGTCGTTGGCAACAATCACACAGGTCACGCCCTCAACAACACCGACACCCGTGATGATGCCGCCCGCGGGTACGTCGGCCTCAGGGTACAATTCATGTGCAGCCAGAGGGGACAGCTCCAAGAATGTCGTTCCCGGATCAATCAGCGCAGTGACTCGATCGCGCGGCAGCATCTTCTTCCTCGCAATGTGCTTTTCCCTTGCCTTAGCCGAACCACCGAGGTGCACCTTCCTTGTCAGGTCCTGCATCTTCTGCATGACCTCGCCCATCTGCCGCTCATTCTCCTTGAACTCCTCCGAGGTAGGATCGACATTGGTCTGGAGTCGGGATATGGCGCTCGCCTGGTGCGGCGGGGTGAAGGTCGCGACGGTGCGAGAGGATCGCGGGAGGCCGGGGGCCCTGAAGCTCGACCGGGTCAATTGACGCGACAGCAGCAGGACATCTCTTGTCGACCGTGAAAGAGACATTTTCGAGACGTGTGCGAGGGGTGTTGCCAACGGTACGGCGGCTGGAGAAGGGGGCAATGGAGAAGAACAAACTACATTTGCCGACGGTGCCCTTGGATATGGGAGGATGTTTCGAGAGGAGAGCTCGCTTGCTGACGGGATTCCATTCCAGCGTGTGACGTCCAAGGCATTGGCCTCGGTCCGCGAAAAGCCGCCCGTAGCCGAGCACCTTCTTCTCCCGGTTGGACCTCTGCTGCGGCGTCGAGCTAAGGTAACTCGGATCAACAACAAGACAACAAGCCAATTTCCTCTTCCTCTTCTCTCAATTTTCCTTTTTTTGAAGCCCTTATTTGTTTTGGAGCGCAATCATGTCGAGTGTTCGAGTATTCAGATCGCTGGCGCGTCCGGCTCGCCAGTTGCGACCCTTGGCCGCCCCCGCCCTTCAATCCCGACGTCATTCCTCTAAGCATCCCAAGGGGTTTGAAGCGCCGTCAGAATCCGACCTTTCCGAGCTGCGCGAGCGCGTGCAGGAGTTCACGAGGCGCGACATCACCGAGGAGGTCGCCGCCAACACGGACAAGAGCAATGCCTTCCCTAACGAGATGTGGCAGAAGCTGGGCGAAGCTGGCTTCTTGGGCATGACCGCCGACGAGGATGTCGGTGGTTTGGCCATGGGCTACCAAGCGCATTGCGTCGTAATGGAGGAGATCTCAAGGGCCTCTGGCTCGATTGGTCTCAGCTATGCCGCGCACTCGCAGCTGTGCGTCAACCAGCTCCAGCTCAATGGCTCCCCGGAGCAGAAGCAAAAGTACCTCCCAGGCCTGATTGCTGGTACCAGCGTTGGTGCCCTGGCCATGTCTGAGTCTGGCGCTGGCAGCGACGTTGTTAGCATGAGGACAACAGCGACGGCGGTCGATGGCGGCTACGTCCTCAACGGCTCCAAGATGTGGATCACCAATGGCCCCGATGCCGATCTCATCGTTGTCTATGCCAAGACGGAGCCTGAGAAGGCTTCGAAGGGCATGACTGCGTTCCTTGTCGAGACCAAGACTAAGGGTTTCAGCTGCGCCAGGAAGCTTGACAAGATGGGTATGCGCGGGAGCAACACCGGCGAGCTCAACTTCGACAACGTGTTTGTACCCAAGGAGAACATCCTTGGCAAGCTCAACGGAGGTGTTCGCGTTCTTATGGAGGGTCTCGACCTTGAGCGTCTCGTTCTCAGCGCCGGACCTTTGGGAATCATGCAAGCTGCGCTGGACGTAGCGCTGCCCTTCACCCACCAGAGGAAGCAGTTTGGCATTCCCATCGCCCAGAACCAGTTTATCCAGGGCAAGCTGGCCGACATGTACACAAAGCTGCAGGCCTCAAGGGCATACACCTACTCCACAGCAAAGGCTGTTGACGAGAACGGAATCATCCGTACACAAGACTGCGCCGGTGCTATTCTGTATGCTGCCGAAAGAGCAACAGAATGTACGTTGGATAGCATCCAGCTTCTTGGAGGCATGGGTTACGTGGAGGAGATGCCAGCTTCTAGGCTGTTGAGAGAGTAAGTTTATCCAAGGTCACATCTTGGACTGTGACTAACATAAGATCAGTGCTAAACTGTACGAAATTGGAGCTGGCACGTCAGAGATTAGAAGGATGGTTATTGGAAGGGCGTTCAACAAGGAATATGCGCACCTTGCGTGATGAAAGAGATCTGGCTTATTATGGTCATCAAGGTTTTGTAGAATCGGATGGAAAATTATTAGATCAAGTCTGATGAATACCAAAATTAGGAATTAACACTCAAATCTGGTTTTGCTCCTTTCCATACTGAGACCTTGGCCATCTCAGTTAACTCTGTCTCCACCGTACTATTTGTCATCGTCGAGCAGACTACTCGAACACTCCGCTGAGATTCACGTCCTTGCTGTATCCAATCGCGCTATTAGACCCTTCAGTATTCACGTTGCCAATCTTGACCTTCAACTCGCCCTCAGTTCCATCAGGATTGTGGATTCCGATCAAGCTCTGTGAGCTCTGGGTTACCACATCACCGATCTGGAGGTTGATTCGTCTCTGCCGAATTTGTGCCTGCAGACGCGCGATCTCGTCCTCGTAGTTCTTAATCCAAGTAACAGCGCTCTCCAGCTCGGCTTCCAGTTGCGCGACGCGTGCATTTTGCTCAGAGGCAGAGGGACCATGGTGGTCACGCTGGTGGGCGGCCATTGCTTGGAGTTGCTTGTAATGCTCACAAGCCGCAAAACTGTGGTGTGAAGGGTCAGCATTGGCCTAAATGGCTCCTTTGCTCTCATCTGAAGCCGTAACTCCAAGCTGAATTAGCTAGACTGATATGGAACAAGCTCACTAGTTCGCACCGCTGAGGGCCAGGGTGATGGTAGCCTTGCAGCGGTTGAGATCAGCCTCAAGAGCTTTGACTCTGTCCTTAGCCCAGGCAAATCTGGCCCTGTCGCGAATACCAAGCTTGTCTAGCTTGAGAAGATCCGGAAATTCGTTGTAAAAGCCTTCGCACAGCTTGCTACAATCTTGGAGTGCAGACACAATTCGTTCCTTTTGGGAGACCCAGTTGTCCTGGTCGACTTCGAAACGAAGTGAGACCTGAACGCTCTGGATGATGTTCTCGATGCTCTGGAGCTCTCTTCGGACATTGGCAAGGTATTCCGGCGCTGCTTGCATGCAGTTGATCTCTTTTGATAGGCAACGGATTCCGTGAGATGCTGCGCTCACAAGACCGACAGCTGCGGAGGCGACTGCAAGTGCTTCTGCCATGGCTTCTGCGTGGTGGTTGGATGGAAAGCTAAGAGGGATAATAGAAAAAGACGAGCTGTCGATGGTGATCGGTTCAAGCCCACTGGACTGAATGCCGCAGTACTTATGGGAAAATTCAACAGCCATTCGGGTTGCTCGCAATGAAGCGATGTGAATAGGCAGCAACTGCAGCGACTGGAATGAGCTTCTTGCAAGGCGAAGAATCGTGAAGCAAAGAGTAGTGGTAACAAAACGGGATACTGAGAAAGACATGCGTTACAAACAGACACACTCCAGTCAACGACTATGTCACTGCTGCCCGACAACAACAATGGACCGCCTCCATAACCTTTCCACAGGTTATCTAGCTATTTCTGACAGTCCCCATCTGATTCTGCCTTCTTTTGACGCCCCTTGCGCTCGTCATCTTTTGCCTTCGCAACCTTTCTTCGCCGACTTCATCTCCTGATTTCACACCCACGGCCTTTTCCAGTGTACACCAGACAAGATTCCTCATCAGCACCATCCACTTCATTAGCACAAAATCTGGCATCCAGTCGCGCGAAGACATCACCTATGGTGCAATCATGAGTGGACACGGGAACGCGTCAACGTCAGTGACGATTGGGGACGTCAACGTCGCTGCTGGCGCAACGGCGATTTTGGGCATAAACCAGATTGGCCAGGGTAAGAATCTGTCTTTCTCATTTTCTCATACGTTGGGGATGCTCACATTAGAACGACTTAGGTAAAGGCGACACTTCAGCCAAGCTGCGAGACTGCACAAATGCTCTCTTCATTACCGATCCTAAGGTCGACCGAAACGAACTCCTCATCTTCAAAGGCGAGAGAGTCAAGGGAACTGGGGAATGGATTCGACAAGACGGGACATACAAAGCTTGGCTGAACTCTGGAGACTCTCGGCTCTTGTGGATATCGGGTGGTCCTGGCCGGGGCAAGACGATGCTATCCATCTTTCTCACTGTCGAGTTGCAGATCTTTTTTCGCCGCCCTCTCACGAGAATTCTGTTCTACTTCTGCAAACATGAAAGCGAAAATCACAACACAGCAACCTCCATACTTAGAACCCTTCTTTATCAGATTTTTGACAAGCAGTCCGAGCTTACCCGCCATGTTGCGAGTCGAATGGAAACGGCGGAAAGAACACGAGACACCCTCAATTCTCCGGGGACTCTGTGGCAGATATTTCTGGATGTTCTGGCTGATCCCAGTCTCGGGCCTGTGGTTTATCTTCTGGACGGACTTGACGAGTGCAAAGACGAGAGCACCAAGTGGCTTGTCAAAAGCCTACAGACTATTTTCGACCAATCCGGCCGAGCACGTTTTCAAACTCCAAACATGTTCAAGGTCATAGTTGATAGCCGTGAAATCACCGGACTTCTTGGGTTTCCACGCCTCGACCTCGAATCGAAGACCCATGACATCGCATCAGACGTGCGTCAAGTTATTGAGTCAAAGATCAGACACCATCCAGATTCTTCAAGAAAGAACCGAGCCTTTTGGAGCAAAACCGTTACGGCGATCCAGGAACGTTGCGACGGAACTTTTCTCTGGGCCGGCTTGGTACTCAACGAGATCCTGGAAAAGAATACAGAACTTGAGATCGAACAAGTGCTTCTCGATGTCCCCGAGGGCTTGGATGCCATCTACGCCCGGATCCTCCGCAGTATTCCTGCCAAATGGCGCAAACAGGTCGCACGTCTCCTTCACTGGGTTACATTGGCTTTCATGCCCTTGTGCATATCCCAATTGGAGGACGCTTGGAATACCGGGAGGAGAAAAGACGACATCAAGCAATACAATCTCCGAGACCTTGTGGAAATGTCGAGATCTTTACTCAAAATTGACGGATCCGAAGAGAGACTTTTGCTCGTACATAGTTCAGTCGGGGATTATCTTCTTCGTCCAACGACTGACACTGATCCTGTCCTGGAAGAGTTTCGAATGGAGGCCAAGACTATTCACTTCGAGATGGCCAAAACGTGCCTCAGTTCAATCAACGGAATCGACCTGAAGCGAAAGCAGGCCGACTTACGCGAGGAGATTCAACATTGCAAGGTTCTTCACCCAGTAGGCTGGAAAATCGTGCGATGTGAAAGAAACTTTCGCAATTGGATATCATATGCCGTCTACTGTTGGGACGGCCATGCAAGATCCTGTGGTCAAGCCGCGAAAGAATTGCTTGACAGTACAACGCCATTCTTTCACAACAAAACAGGTCTCCGCGACATGTTTTGGGATTTCTTCAAACATCCATTGTCCAAGTCCCGCGACGGCAACGTCACATGTGGAGTGCATACAAACCCAAGTCTTCTTCATGTACTCTCGGCCCTCGGAATACCCGTCTTGGTTTGTGAACTACTCAGTCGTGAGTCTACTCGCAATGGGGACTACATAAATCTCATGACCGACCAAGGCCATACCGCTCTCTACTATGCAGTCTACTACGCAAAATTTAAAGATCAGGAAGACACCGTCCAAGCCCTCCTCGATAATGGTGCTTGCGTCACCAGAGGATACCGCCTTGAAGGCAGTGCTCTACATGCAGCCTTCATGATGCAGAATTACCGGCTCGCGAAACTTTTGCTCGATCACGTTTGCAACGACGCGTGTATGTCATCCGTACCAGGACAACAAAGGGCGCCCGAATCCCTTTCACAAGACTTGCTCTATCATGCCTTTTGCGCAAGGGATGTCAGGCTGGTGGAATTGTTATATGACAATGGTATGGGGACGAGGTTCCCAACGAGTAACATGATCATGGGGGCAATCGTCAACGCCTCTCTCCCCGTTTTTCAGTATCTCTTGAAACAGACGTTCGACGTTGACGCCAAGAACGAAGTCACTGGGGAAACCTACGTTATGTGCGCAGCATCGACTGCAAGACGAGACGACGATGCAGTTCACATCCTGAAAGCACTCCTGGAACGGGGCGCGAAGGTCAACGAACCCTGGTTTCTAGGGATGACCCCGCTTCACATGGCAGTGGTCTTCAACAATGGAGCAGTAATTCCAACCCTCCTTGCCCACGGTGCCGATGTCAATGCCGTGGTGCATGGTGCATGGGAAGTAAGGAATATGGACACCATACGCGGACAGTTTACAAATGCCGAAAGATTCATTACCGCTGTCTTGGCTGATGGGGTGCGGCCGGTCGACTCGGCCTTGGCGGACAATACATGGGGAGTTGCTGAGACTATCCTCGATGCTAGCATAGGTGCCAAAGAAACCTTGCATCGCTACAGAACCACCCTATACTGGTTGCATTGTCGTATGGAACGCAGACCGGTTGATGGCGATGACACCGGATCACCAATGAGATTCTGTGAGAAGTTCTTGCGAAGGGGCCCGAAAGCTAACGATCGACTTTGGAGGTCTACGCTCCTAGACAACTTTTGTGAGCCGCTGTTCTCATTTCAGCTGGACTACATCCAGCTTTTGATGCGCTATGGTGCTCACTGCCGGCTTCCTGAGAACACTGAACGATTGCAGAAAGTGCTGGAGCGACGGTTTCAGAATGGAATGTCAGCAGAAGAATGGGACAAGGAGACGAGAAGGAAGCTTAAAGAGCTGCTGAATAACCAAACGGCGTGACGGTTTAATGCAAAGGCATTGCTTGCCTTTCCTGGCAGTGTACTTTTCAAGTTTTGAAGTTTTTTTATTTTATTTTCATGCATCGCAGCGTACTAGCTGAACCGCTAATAGAATGCTCATGCGTTTGTGTATTTTCTTCGTTTGAGAAGGACAGTTGAAGGCCATGGAAGGTGACCTCGAGCCATTGCTGAAGGCTGTCATGTTCAGGCGGGGAACTATGCGATTTACCATAGGTTACACCATGTTCTATTCATCTCCATCATATCCGTTGTCTTCATTGTCTTCATCATTGCCGCCTCTATCGACACTATTGACACTATTATGCGCCCGAAGCCTTTTCGGCCATCTCGCCCACGATACAAAAGTTCGTAAGGCAACTATTTTGAAGTTGAAGGCTTTAAAGGCTCCGCGAAGTTTCCGAAGTACACGTCAACTGATCAATATCTGATCTCCGTCTGATCAATGAAATTCTCTTGCGATGTAAGACTAGACGATCTTATCATCTGTGCTAATGCTTCGGTGAATATGGAGTTGTGATAGGAAAGTTGGTCTCTAAACATGATACGTTAAATCAGGATGCGGCTGGGACACTACATTTCGTGAGTAGAACCAGTCCAGGTGAAAACCCTTCCACACCGCTGGTCGTATCCTAGGTAGCTACCTTGGTTGGACCTGAGAGTTACAGGGCATGAGGATATCAGAAACAGATTGCGAGTGCGCGGGGTGAAAATCATACAAAAGCCGATGTGTGGGATGCGCTTCCAGAAACCCCGACAAGTATGGAATACGGCAGTCGTAAGCGGATGGCCGAAAGCGGCTTCCCGTTTCGCGGAGCTGGTCAAGTGATTGGCATATCCGGGGACCCGGCGGTGATCGGACGACGACAGAACACGGGCGGAATAGACGGAGGGGGATGCGTGGGATGAAAATCAGTAATGTCGGTCTGTCAGCCACCTCCCTTCCAACCTCGTGTTCAACAGAAAATGATCGTGGAGTGGGTAACAGGAGAGTGTCCGGACCAACAGCATGCAAGTGCCAATCAACGTGATGAGGTGACATTGGGACATTGGGAACAGCAAAAAGGAAAATAGATGCGTCGGCGGAGGCTCCCTTGCCTTTGATTGCTTGGCCTTGAAGCAGCTGTCCGCTCACCGTGGCTCCGAACCGGAGCTCCCAGGCCAGGGCTTAGAAGAGCGGGAGGTCAGATGGCCAGGCCCTTGAACCCCCAAATCTCAGGGCATTCTAGAACTTCGTCCGGTGTAGGAAAATTGGGGTAGCTGTGGGGAAGAAAGCCAAAGATGCCCAATCTTGTTGCTCGAGAGAAGACCAAAAATTGGTTGGAGCAAGGTGCATGTTTGGTCACAGGTCGTTCAAGATTCTCTCTCTTTCGAGACGAAGCTCATCCTTTCTCTGGGCTAGCTCCACAGGGTCCCTTGGGGGAGGTGGAAGAGGGACAGCCAAAGACTGGAGGCGGGCCAACGATGTGGAGGATCTAGACCAGGGGGGGCTCCCATCAATTCCCAGAACTGGGGGTAAACTGCAGGCCACTGCAACGCCAGTGGCCAATTCGATTGGGCATCATGGCCAGAATCAGGCACTCGGGAGCTGTCCCAGCCGGGCGAGCCGGGATGTGACGGCAAGACCTGGACCACGACCACCTCAGCTATCCACCCCCGCCTCGGGGGTGCAGTCCCAGTCCCTAGTGGCGGTAGCGACCAAGAGCGGCAACAACAACTTCGTTCCTTCCATGGATGTCCTGGGCGTGGCTTCCTGCCCAAGCTCCGGGGCAGCTCCCCGCGAGGCAGTGCGTGCAGGTGGCAGATGGCAAACGGCAGGTGCGAAGGGTGAGACGTGATTTTGCCATGGAAGTGACGAGACGCGTCCGCCTGCCCAAGTATCGTGAGTTTCTGTTGCCCAAGGAAGGTAACTACCTGCCTACCTGCCCTGCCTACCTTCCTCAGGTGACTGCCGTCTTCCTTGCAGCTTGACCGCACTTACACGACACCTCCGTTCCCTCCTTCCTTCCTACCCAACCTCAGCTAAGGTATTTCTTTTACTCTACCCTGCCTGCCTGCACCTGGAGCTCCTCATAAACGAAGCTCCTTCCCCACTTCCTCGAGCTTCCATACCATCCGCCGTCTCCTCCCAACCTCCAAATCCCCAATACGAGCCTCCTCCAACTGACCCCAACTACGACGATTTCCCGATCTAGGCTCGATTCCAGACGATCAGAGTCAATCACCTTCCTCGTACCACGTCATCTACCCCACCAGAGCTCCTCGAGTTGTTTCTTTTGGCGACCTTTTTTCTGCTCTGAGCTGCTCCTGATCGGCCAGATATACAGCAGAGCTTCTCTCAGCTTACTCTAATCGCCGCTCAACAAAAAACAGCCTAGTGACATCATCCCGCTCCTGTCACTTGGAGAAGTGAACCCTTCAAACACTCACGACCGTTTACTTTCCACTCCTTCTCCCGCTTCGGGAACCTCAAATCGAACCTTTCCTGTCCATTCCTTTGACTGCTCCTTTGACGGCACTCAGACACTCACCAAATCACACATCGCTGTGATTCACAGACAAAAGCCACAATGTTCCGCCCTCTCAGCGCCCGCCTTGCGCGGACAATCCGCCCCATCACGCATACAGCTCAGATTCGCAGCAAGCAGACTTCGGCCGCTGCCGCTGCCAGCATCTCAGCAACCAAGTCTCAACAGCAGCAGGCCAGAAACATCAGTGGAAGCCGGAATGTCAAGGAGAAGCCTCACCCAGGCCAGTACTCCCGAACTGATCCTGATGTCACTGTCGAGTACCCCGAAGACCATGAGCTCCCGTCTAGTCAACCTGTTCGTGGCTCCGGTGGTGGTATCGGCAAGCCTACTCTCGCGTCGTTCTCTCTTGAGGGTCATGTCGGCGTCGTCACAGGCGGCGCTCGTGGCTTAGGTCTGGTCATGGGCCAGGGCATGGTCTACTCTGGCAGTCATCTTGCTATTGTTGATCTGAACAGTGAGTTCGTCCGTATTCTCATTGGATGAACTGGGGACTGACAGCAAGCAGAGGAGGAAGCTGAGCTTCAGGCCAAGAACCTGACTGAAGCTTTCAAGAGAGAGAACCCAGAAGCCAAGACGTAAGTTACTCAAACTCACTGATCGTCTGTGAAAGCGCATGACGCCTAACCGCTCTGCAGTGTACCCAACGTCACCGCCCACTATGCCGACGTCTCGGATCCCGCTTCCGTCGAAAAGTGCATCGCTGAGATAATTGATGCCCACGGCAAGATTGACAACCTCGTCACTTCGGCCGGCTTTACAGAGAACTTCGATGCCGTCAACTACCCGATCGATCGCATGCGCAAGCTCTGGGGTGTCAATGTTGATGGTACCTACCTCTTCGCCATCTCCGTCGCCAAGCATCTCATGGACCGCAAGTCCCCCGGAAGCATGGTCTTCATCGGAAGCATGTCTGGTTCGATCGTCAACGTGCCTCAGCCCCAAGCGTACGTGTCACCCAAGAACGCCATGGTTCTAGAACATAAGTGTTAGCTAACACGACTGCAGACCTTACAACGCCGCCAAGGCTGGAATCCGCCACCTGGCAGCCTCATTGGCCGTTGAATGGGCCCATGCCGGCATTCGTGTCAACTGCATCTCTCCAGGTTACATGCTTACGGCTTTGTAAGTGCCCAAAGCCACTTCGTATCGGATCGACCATGTGACGGTTTGCTGACACGATGATTCAGGACCGAGAAGATTCTCAACGACAACCCCGACTTGAAGCAGAAGTGGACATCCCTCATCCCTCAAGGCAAGATGGGACAGCCCAAGGACCTCATGGGTCCCGTGACCTTCTTGCTGTCCGACGCCTCCCAGTACGTGACCGGTGCGGATCTCCGTGTTGACGGCGGTTACACTGTCACATAAATGGCACGCCGCAATCGGTGCAATGAAGATAAGAGACAAGGCAGAATGAAGCGGCTCAAAAGTTGTATCTTTGGTAGATCACGGGGCGTTTTGCTTTGAGGGGGGCACTAGACATGTGGCTGTCCATAATTGACGAACGACACAATATTAATAATGGAACACTTCAATCATCATGGGCCAGTCTCTGTGTTGACATGTGAAAGCAAGTCTCATCATGCCAGCAACCTGAGTGTGCGATCGGCATTGTTGGTTCTCGGGACCGATCAAGATAACCCCCCCGAGACGCAGTAAGACAGAACCCGCAATGGCACATCAAACGCGCCGCCGATGGCGGCCGGCGATAGCTTGACCGATAGCCACTACTGCGGCAGGTAACATTCCCGGGCGGCACGCGTTTGCCCAACGGCAACTAACCCGAGCCCTTCGGCACACGCACGGTGTCGCCAATCTCTGTCACCCCCGCCCTTGGCCGCAGCCGCCTCGATGGTTCTAGACGCGGGTCTGAGGCACAGTGCCAGAGGCCAGAGGGTGATGTGCACCCCCCGTCATCACACTTACCTGCGCCTGCATATACGCATCTGCGGGTGCTGCGTACAAACATGTGCTTGGCGGGTGCTGCACGATGGGCGGTGGCGCGGCGCCGTGGAGAGGTGCGTCTTTGCATCATGTTGTGCGACGGTATCGGCGTGCGGCGGCGCCGGTGGAGGGGGTCTGGAATATGCATGCTACGGGAGGTCGGTAGGTACTATGGGGAGAAGGTCGGGGGTGTAGGTTACACAGCTTTGGCGAGCTGAGATGTTGGTTTTTGCTGGAGTTTGTTGGCGAGTTTTGTTTGTGTTGCTGTTTGGCGGTTATTGGAGAAGGTTGATGACATGTAAAGATGAGACTGCCTAATTTCTCTGTCTTTGCGCGGGTATGTTCATGCATACTTAATTGCTTCGATCGGATAATAGTGGTAGACATTATGATAGTGCAGATGATAATCGTAGTACAGATGACGACAATATTAGCAATGACGACAGTAAGATAGGGCACAGAGAAGCTCACATGAAAAGGAGTCGCTCTGGCACAGGAAAAATAGGGGGTATCGTAGTGGTTCGTCACATTTATTGCGTTGGTGATAGTTACAAGTACTGTCAATGTGAAGGAAGCTCTGATCTTCAGTGAAGAAGACATTAAGCAGGAGGAAATCCAGCACTTATCTCTCGTCTGTACAGCGCGGACACTGATATTGATATAGCTAAAGAGTCGGACTTCTTCAAATCTGAGCATATTGATCATTTCGACCAACGAGACCCGAATATACTGGGGAGAACAGTGATAATGGACAGACTGAAGTTTCGCCAACCTCAATTGAGTGACTTAAGCAACACATGGCAAATGAGTCTTGCCCATGATTAATGCTACGTGTTCTTCTGTGCTAAAAGCTCGACCCAGAAAGTCGAAGCAGGCGCTGAATAAGATGGCTCATCTGTGACGGATACCTCAGAAAGGACAACGAAAGACGATGACGATGAAGCACGTCAGATGCTATGGCTACATCTTGAGACTTTTGGGCAGCAACTTTCGAGTGAGACAGATTCGTACCTGGAATCAGCCAGGAGAACCAGCCAGGGCAGGAATATACGCTTCGAAAAAATTGCGTCGCCTTGGGTTCTGTTTACGAGAGCCATCTCCAAGAATCTTTCATATGCTTCTAATCCATTATCCCTGGCGGTATCAGTCCTACAACAAGATGTGCTTGCAAGTTGAAGTATAAAAGACGACGCCTTTGATGATTTGTCTGGGCAATTGCATACGCTCCAAATTCTTTGCGACTCAAGCTGAATCGGGAGAGGCTGGATGCTTCGAGGTCAGAAGGGATGAGAGCCAAATCCACCACTTAACCCATGGCTCTCGGAATCCATAAGTCTTGAATACGAGATATATAGCTGTCCGTCACTATCTTCCATACACTTGGACATATTCATGATTGTTCCATACTCGACTCAGGGAACCACGCCGCACCGGTCATCGCCCCTATATTCCCTCCTTCACATCACGAGACACAAAAAGCGAGCCCAGGATTTAAAATCCCTCAACGCGATCTACGTGAGAAGTTGAAGTGAAGTATAGATAACCTCAAGACGTCACTTACACACCCACCACCACGAACCTTCCCTGCCCCTCCATCAACCTAACCACGAGGTTGTCTTCGGCCCGTTAGCGTGGGGGTCCCCCAGTTCCTAAAAGCCTACGCCGAGACCTCACCACATCCTCGGAAACAGGAAATCTCAAGTCAAAAGTTCACACCAAGCCCAGTCAAAAGAGGATCAGTTCACCATCCAACCTCACCTTTACCCGGTAAATAGACCACCAACCCCTGTTCAAGACTGTGGGGGTTTATTTAGGTAACCCCGTGGGCAAGCTACCCCTCCAAAGGCCTCACCTTAGTCAGCAGAAACAAACCCCCCCTGCCCCCTTTTGGGACATACCGCAAGGGTTCATCAGGTTCAACGGCTTCCACCGGCTTCAGTCCAACCTCCTTTTCTTCTTCTTCTGTGTGTGTGTGACCTGCTAGAGCTGTCTATCCCTAGGTTGTCTTCCCAAATTTTTTCTCACCCTCAAAAATTTACCCCGCAGCACGACAGCCCTGTCAGACCAGGGTAGCTCCTTCTTGCAGCACAGCTCTTTTTCCCTTCCATCCTACGAAAATAATACCCCTCGCGTCGAGGGCCCGAGGCGAAAAGGAACGTGGGGGCGGCGGCCGGGGGGACAAGAAGATTCGCGCGGGATGGAGGGGCACGCATTGTGACATTTTTGCAACCCCCCGAAATCCCCGTCCCGATAGGCACAGAATAAAAAGGGAGTGGCCCGGTTCCCATTGAGTAATGAATTTTCTTACCTTCAGAATGGGGTTGGCCGAGAAGACTGCCTAGTTCCCGTTTCTCTTATCCCTTGTCGCAGACGACGGGCCTCGTGACCATGTTGAGCATTTCTTTTTTCTCTTGCTTGTTCCCACCCCGTCATCCACCACCCCGTCTCGGTGATCAGACCGTGGTGACGGGATTCCTTGGCCACGGCCTGTCGTCTAGGTACCTTCCATAAACGACCGAGTCAGGCCCTGATCCTTTCAAGAACAGAGGTTGTCACCAGGACGGCGTTGGCGTGGTGGCCGCACGTTGTAACCCTGTCAATTAGAATTCGAGTCAGCCCTCCTATGTAAGAAACCAGCCTAGATATATCTCTTGGGGCCGTTTGTCCCCCTTGCTATGTTTCAGTCGACACAACACACACTCACACGGTCATCGCCGCCGCTTGACCAACAATGGCATCTCAAAGGGGTTTTTTTTTTTTTTTTTTTGGCTCAATGTTTTCTCTCATTTAGAATGGCTATCGGACCAGTTTGCGCGCCGTACTCACATCGTCGATTGAGCCTCGGCCGACTCCGAGTGGGAATCGCCGCCGCTGCTCAATGCGCACAGCCGGATCTTGTAGCTTGCTGCTCCTCTGTAATGCTTCTCGGGCCATGGCCCAATGGGACCCCAAAATCCACCTGTAATGAGAACGCCTCATGTGATGCGAATGCGCCGATCTTGCCCCTAGCAAGTTGCGGCCTTGTCGAATTGACGAAAAGAAACGGGGTACGGTAAAACGTGGGAAGTCTCCCAGGAACAAACGCAACCACCTTTGAAAAAAATACCAACTCTTCTGTGATGAATGAATGCGGACGAATCCGACTATTTTTGTGTCCCCCAAACTCCATGAGCCCCTTTTGATGCAGTTCGTACCTCTTGAATTAGTACATGGATTATATGTGTAAGGAGAAATAGTGGCATATCGGCCATGATTCACGACCGTTGTCTTGGCCTGTCACCGAGGCGTTCCTTCTCTCGCTCTAGCAGGAGCGTCAACTGACTCCTCGTACGGGCCAGTGGGACCTCGGGGGTTGCGCTGGGCATGGTCGGTGTGAAATGTGTCGAGGAAGAGGTCCGTCTCGGAGTGCCCCTGGGCTCGTCATCCCCAAAGGTGCTCAGCGCTTCCATGGCGCGCTTGTCGGGGTCGCCCGATATCGATACGTGACCCACGGCAGCCACCGTTGACGTCTTCGCCGTGGCGCCTGAAATCAGTCCCAGTTGAGAAGGCCCACGTCCAATGCTGGCCTCTCGGGGTCGGTACGTTTCGGAGTTCGACGAGGTCCTCTCCATCCTTGGAGCAGAGAATGCGGAACGCGATGATGAAAATGAACCAATTCTGGGCGAGGACAGTCCCGGCGATGTGATCGGGGCGTAGGTAGGAGTCTTGGGCCCCTCGTTTCTTGGCCTGCCTGGCTCTTGCACTGCCTTTTCTGTCACAGACTTGGACAGCGGCGCTGGGGCCGGTGCACGACTCGCTGTCTGCACAATGACTGGCTTCCGTCGTTCTTCGATGATCGGCGGGGACTTCAGCGGGTTCGGAGTTTCGTGATGCGGGCGGTTCGCCGGTCGCTTGCCCAAGGATTTCGCGCTTGGGGGAGGTTCGATGCCCTCGGAGATGGACGAATTCTGGATAGCTGTCTCAGCATGAGGGTGAACAACGTTGTAACTGCCAACGTGTTTAGTTCCGTTTGCAGAGCCGACGTCCTTAGTCATGACATCAGAATTAGTTGAAGACTGAGAGCTCAGTCTTCTGGGAAGAACAGGTCTCCTCTTGTTAGCTGCCGAAGCAACGAAACGTTTCGTCGGGGTTGAAGGCTTCTTCTTGTTCGATTTCGCCGGCGATGCCGCAGCTGCAACACGCATTTCCAACCCGCTGGTGCTCCCCGAGGACGTTCCCTCGCTGGTTTTGAAATCCTCGTCAGCGGATTCATGCGGCGATACGAATCGAGCCGTTGGACGCGGTCCGGACTTTGAATCGCCCCTAGACTTCTTCAAAATCGGGTGCGGCGGCGGGGGCCGAGACGAAGAAGCAGACAGCTCCTTAATCGCCGACTGGTCAGAAATCAGCTTAACGTCCTGACTTGACTGCTGTGCATTGTACAGTACGTCAGACTCATGCTGGCTATTGAAACGGGGTGTCTGTGCATGGATATCAGCAGATGTCAATGTGGTGTCAAACGGCAGAGCTTACCGCAGGCCCCTCCCAACGGTTCGGCGAGCCTTTGAGAGGCACAAAAGTTGGGCCATACGAGATGTGTTCCCAGATCTTGGCTAGAGTATCGGCCCTGAGTTTACTCCTGTCGCTGCCCATGACCTGCCACCAAAAGTTCTCGAGGCGACGTGCGGTGGGGTCAACAAGCTTCAGGTTTGTGGTCGTGTAAACTGGATGCCGGTATTAGCTCTGGAGACTGAGGGCAACTACGGTTACACAGCGTCAAGAGTGAATGCAGTTGACTTACGGCGCCACATCCGTATGATGAAATCGGATGGAAGGGGTTGCGAGAGCGATGCTACATCCCCATAGATGCGCCTGTCATCTTTGACGAAGCCCTTTGGTAAATCCATCTTAAAGAGAGTGGTTTCTACCGTGACCGGACGGTCGACAGTAGATGCGTCTGAAGACTAACAACAAAAACAGTGAGGGGCAGGCTGCCGTGTGGCACAGATGGCCCCGCCGTGGTGGGCAATCTTGCAAATTGCGATGAGGGTTACCTGATTAGATCAAGGGCGCTCATGGTCGCGCTCAATGGCAGAATTGGCTCTTTGGAGGTGACGAGTCTGAAGAAGCGGGTTGGAAAGGTGAGTGTTTGGAGAAAGCTAGCTGCAAGTGAGAGGCAAGCTGCAACTTGGGTTGGTCACTTTTTAGCAGCGAGCGGGTGACCAACTGCGGGCAAATGACTGGCAGGTGTTTTGTTGAGAGGCGGTGGTGATGCAAGCCGAATTAGAGTCGAGAGCGAGTTCAGGTAGGCGGCAGAATTCGGCTTGGGTGTGCTGCGGAGGTTCCGATGACCGTTTTCATGGATCCCGAGTTTCGTTGTCGGTGTTGTGTGTTGCCGACATGTGGAGGGCGGCACAGGAATGGCGGAGGGATAATAGTGGCCGGCCGTTTGTCGATGTCGAAAAGGTGTGGGAAGTTTTGCGTGGAGGGAACAGCTCCAACAGGAAAGAAGCCGATGAACGAATACCCGAAACCCAGGTTCAAGGGGAACGTCAAGGTTGAGATGGGATGGCCGGTGAAAGACGGAAAGTCTAGCAGGCAAGGTACGCAGCCCACGCGTGGTTGTGTGTGTGTGTGTGTGTGTGTGTGGGTGGTTTATGTGTGTGAGAGTGTGCGTGGTGAGGTGAGGTCAAAGGCCTGGAGGGGGGAAACTGCAAACTGCGAACAGCAGCGGTGTTCAAGGTAAACTTTGCCGGGAGGTGGAGGCTAGACCGTGGGTATCGAAAGGGGAGGGCCGGAGCAGCAATGGCGGTGGGCTCGCGTGTATGGCGGTATCGGTGATGGACGGTACCGATACAGAGAGGAGCCGGAGTTGAAGATTTTGTTGTTGTAAGGGCGCTGGCATCGGAGGAGGAAGACGAGAAGCGATAGTAGGTCGAGATTGGCAAGGTCGGGTGGGAGGGGGAGATGTCGGCGTCGATGGATGGAGTACGCACGAGAAAAATTGGAATGTTCAGAAATGGGACTTTGAGGGCGGAGGCTCAGGTTAAGGAGGAGGTCAACAAGTCAGGTAAGGTACCGTACATGACTTGGATGCCGTAGCCGTACCGCACATCAGAAATGCCCTGAGGAAGGGGAACGGGGACGGGAAGAAGGGGACGACGGGGCGCGAGGAGAGAGTGGGAAAAAATAAAAATAAAAATTGAACCCCCCCCGGAGACTGTGACTTTGAGAGGCTGCACCTTGAGGTTAAGGTACCTGACCTGCCTCCTCACGAGACGACGACGGAGACGGGCGGGCACACGGGTAGAAAAGAAATGGGCCGGGGAAAGGGGAGGAGGAGCACGAATGATGGACACCTCATTCTGCCTTCCTTCTCAGCGGCCAGTAAGTGAAGTGTGCTGTGCTGTGCTGTGTGTGCTTGAAGGCCAGTGCAGGCGCTGATGCTAATGCTGGTTTGCAGTTTGTGACTTCTGGGTACGGGACGGGAGCCACCCGTGGACCGGTGGGCGGCGTTCTTTACTGCGTACTTTGCCTTACCTTACTCTGAGGTGCTCTGAGGTGCTTGATGGCGCTGGGCCTTTGAAGGTCTCGTCCGGTCTGGCGCCATCGTGTACCTGCTCCTCTGTACTGCATACAGCCCGCGTAGCATTCCATGGTGCCGATAAGTGAGCGGCCTATGAGTATTCGCCCTCCGTACAGGCTACGGATACCGAGCAACAAGACCCTGGTCTTCCTCCTACCCTTCCATCCAATTTAGCCCTCGTGGAGACCCAACGGAAGAATAAGTCTAAGCTTTAGTGGGCCGTATCAACGGGCACCTCAGTTCACGTCGCGCTTTCCATTACAGTTCCATCTCGACCTCAGACAACCCTGTGGAACATGAACATGGGCAGTGCTTTGTGTGTTATGCAGAACCTGAACCTAGACCGGCCGGAGACAGTACTGCGTATTTCAGTCACGCGGTTTACTCATCAATCTAAAAGTCTAGATTCATCAGCGACTGCTTTACCTTGCTGCAGTACAGAGCGCAGAACACCAAGATACTGCAAGATAGGTATCCGTATGCAGCAAACAGACCTGGGGCCGCCGGGTGAGTCTCCAGTCTCCAGTCTCCAGTCTCCAGCCCCCAGGGCTGACCGACATACCCCTGCCAGCACGCCGCATGCCCTGCCGGGCCCTGAGATGATGTTCTGTCGGTTGCAATCGAAGGGTCCATCGACATGGCGACCTAACGCGGGCTTCTCTTTTGGGATCTCCGCCGCGCCTAGCAACAAATTGAGACCAAATTTCACGTGTGATACAGTGATATCGACATTGGGTTGCCAGCCCGCCTTCAGGAGATGACCGAAACCATGAGGCCAGCAGTCGTCAGGGCCACGATGAGCAACTTGCAAGAGCACGAGCTCATGGAGATAACGAGCGATGCGTGCCATTCGCTCCTGTTTTCCATGTGGGCTACCACTTGCTTGCTCACTCGCCGCCCCTGCATTGTTCCAGTTTTCTCAACGGACACAGCCCGCCGATATCTGCACAAGCTCTCGTCTAGGTCCTCGTCGAACCCGAAGCAGCTGCCAGGTTAGGGAGAAAACGGCAAGCGGCAACACAACGGTTTGTTCTCAGCCCCTCCCGGATCCAATTGAGGTCGTCCAGTCCACGTCCCGTCGTGCTTGTCAGCCTCAGCCTCAGGCATGTCTGTGGTAATGCGATCAGGAAGCTGTGCAGTCACTGCAGTGCAGTGCAGTGCAGTGCTGTGCGTCCCACAAGCAACACGACGAGCAGGAACGGAACGACACATCAGCAACCTGGAACGCAGGCAAGGAAGGCACCTCAAGGAAAGGTGGAAGGTAGGTACTTCCATCGTACCTTACTTGCCTCAGTTGTGGATTGGGGTTGGGCTGTGCTGTCCGTCCGTCCTCCTTGGCCGCACCGTCCGAGATGAAAGCTACCTGACCTTAGCTTCCCCGGCATGCCTGAAGATAGCATTCCATTAGCCCATGTAGCTTATCTTGCTCTTTCTCATCATTCTTGCTGCATGCCATCCGTACCTTGCCTTTCTCTCGACTGCCTTCTATCTCTCCATACCTTACCTTGCATCTCACCTAAACAAATGCCCCTTCTGCATGTGCTTCCCTTCCCTCGTTCCCCCTCATGCCATCCCAGAGTCTAAGTCAACACCACTGAGATCAGACCTCGGTCCATCAAGCTCTAGACCCCAAGCAGATCTGTTCCTCCTTCAGGCACACAGCTCTAAAGTCCAGCCACCGTTACCACTACCACCACCACCATCAGCTCACATCTCAAATTCCATCAGCCTCGGGTCCATCCATGTTGCCAACACCACATCCGCCATCATGAGACTGTCGCCGTCTGCACTGTCCCGCCTGCGACCCGCGCCTCTTGCAACCTGCAGTTGAGCCTAGGAACCCTCTTCGACCTCACCCACCGCACCAACCCAGGCGACGTTGACCTCTGGATTCCCCTCCCCCCATTGGGCACCTACAGATGGTCCTGGAGCCGGAGCCGCCTGGGGTGCATCACACATATCACGCCCAATTATTTCCGAGTTTCCGATGTCCAGTGACATTCTCTGCTCCGACGCCAAGCGGACTCTCCCCGTCGACATCACGGAACAGCAACGGATGGACAAACGGCGAGACGGACCCCAGCAATAACGGCACAACAAACTGCCGCATGCTGCAAACAGGCTACCACCACCACTACCACCACTAAGATCCCCCTTTTGCATACATGGCAAGATGCGGTTGCAACACCTGGCGCTGTTTGCGATGCGCAATCTGATCGACTTCCCCTCATTGCCAGTGTCGTCGCAGTTACAGCACTTGGTATGCGCGCCCGTCAAGCACACACGGCAATCAGTGGCCAAGAGGGTCCGGCTTGCAGGTGTGTGTTCCAAGACCGCCCCAAACACTGGGAGCGCTGCTGCTGGTAAACAGCGAAAATAATCCCAGCACGGATGCGGCCCCCACGTCCCCAGAAAATGGCGTTCTAGAACAAAATTGGTGTCCTCTGTAGCGCCTGTGGTGGTGTTCGCCCCTGGGACTTGGAACCATCACCCTTCCATCTGCCACACACAAGCCCCAACCCTGGCTCTACTTGACAGATACAACGCCGATTATCAGTCATTTTTCGATTCCCTTGGCTGCCCTGCTTGGGTCACTCACTGCAAAGAACCGGCCGAGTACTTGGATTCGCGCGGATGCCCTATCGCCCGAGATAGTACCCCGGTCGCGGACACTCGCGGCTCTGCAACTGCTGCTTTCACAGCGGACGTCGAGAAGGAGGCCGCCCTGTGCGACGCATGGCCGTTGAATTTGCTGTCTTGACTGCGCAATCCGAAGAACCTTCCATCCCGAAGCAAACCCGGTCACTTGTTGGGACGATTCCCGACGCTGTTATGGTGTGCCTTACTTGACGGTCATATACCCATGCATCCCAGTCTGCCAGGGCGCCGACAAGGGACGAATTTCCCTAGTAGGCGCTACGGGACGCCGTGCTGTGGCATATTCAACCATCATCTCGGCCACCCGTGACCCGGCGCGATTCCCACTGGTACAATATCGCCATCTCCGCCGCGCGAGCACAACCGAGACAAGGTGTGCCGGGGTATCATAGCTTGATCATGGCCAGCGGCGAACTCCTCACCGATGACATGGCGCCCTTCTCACCGCTCTACCGAGCACGAATCAGCAAACCCGACATCTGGCGGAAGCGGTTCCTAGCGCGACCACGACAGAAAAAAAAAAAGGGAACTTCGGGAGTGGAGCGGTATTGATGGGAGGAACAGGAG